ATTTATATTAAATTATTGTAATAATCTAAATTTATAATAGTTAGGTTATTCCCTATAGTCTATACCTTTACTTAATATTTAATACTTATATTAATATAGAATTATATACTTTACTAGATTTTATTTACTATATTTATAAATATATTTATAAAAGTTTAAATTATACTATTATTAAATTTAATTTAGAAGAGATAAATAAGATAAAATAATATATATTAGAGTAATATATAGGTACTATAAAAGTAATCTAGAGATTATTTAGTTTTTTAATTTATTTCTATTATCCCTTAGTTCTTTCTTTAGTAGTTTACCTACTATCTTAGTAGATTATAGTCTAGGACTAAAGCTAGAATACTTAAGATATACTAGAATAAATTAATAAATAAGTATTTTAACTTAATACCTTCTTCTCCTATAATAGAGGCCACTCTATGGAGAAACTTCTATATTAAAAGATAATATTTTAATATATTTAGGACTATAAGTAAGTCTCTATCCTTTCTAATCTAGAATATATACCAATAATATTAAGAGATAAATACTAGAAGCTACGAAAATAAGAGTTAAGATAAATTAGCTAAATATACCCTTTATTATCTATATAGAATGCCTACTATATTTAATATCTTCTCATTATTATATAAGACCTCTAGAGTTATTAAGACTTTAGAACTATTAATAAGGTTATTTAACCTATATTTTAGGAAGCCTACTATACTCTAGAGCTTCCAGTAAGAGATAATAAGTAGATATTCTACTTTAAGGAGGTCTACTAGCTACGAACTAGAATTATTTTTAAAATAATATTTATATTAATTCTATTATTCAGAAGTCTAAATAAAGATACTATTTTTAGAATTTAGTTTTAATTTAGTAACTAGTTCTATAATAATTTTTCTTTATAAATTTCTTAAGGTAATTTTAATTATCTCTCTAACTAGATTATAGAGAAAATTTTGAGAAATTTAGACCTTTACTTTATTTATTATCTACTCTAATAAGAAGAATATTCCCTTAAGAAGTTTAGACTACTAATATTTAAAAATAACTAGGAAGGAAAAAAGATACTAATAAACCCTCTTATCATTATAGAATTAGCTTATAATTAAGCTAAGTAGAAAATTTTAGCTAAATAACTAGAAGTATAACTTAATACTAATTAATAATAAGCTTAAGGAATTATTTTAGAGGCTTTAAAATAAATATTAAAAAAAGTATTATTCTTCTTTAATGATTTCAATAATACTAGAAAGATATTTCTATATTAAATTATCTATATATATATATATAGCTAAGGCCTTATTATACTTTATATTATATCTATAAGTATTACTTCTATTTTTTTACTTAAAGATAGAACTATATATAAATATTTTAAGATTCTAATCTCTATCGAAGACTATTTAATATATAATATTTTTAAATTTTCTTAACTAGTAGAGTTACTCTAATAAATATCTTTACTTATTTAGAATAAGACTCTAATAACTTTAGCTTAGATATTTAATATTATTAATTAATTACTCTATAATATCTATTAGATTAATTTACTCTTTAATAGTCTACTAATTATTTTAGATAGGGACTTCTAGTAAATTTTACCTATTATTGTAATAAGTACCTAGTAAGATATTATTAACGCTATAATATATAATACCAATATTTAGTAGAATTTATATATTCTAAGTCTATATAAGAATATAAGACTTTAAAATACTACTTCTAAAAATTAAGCTTTTATAAAGTAGCTAGTAAAATTTACTATTATAAATCTCTATAAAGTTAGATTTAGCTTTATCTAATTATTAAGTCTACTACTAATTTAACTACCTTTATAAACTAGGTATATTTAAATTTTATAAAGAATTTTACTAATTTAGAGTTTTTTAAAGATTATGCTATTATAATATTTTTAAATAAAAATATATAATTTCTTAATTAGTACTTCCTTACTAAGTTCTTAGGAGAAGTACTTACCTAATATATAATTAATACTACTAATATTAATAATATAGCCTATAAAGAAGTCTTATGGAAATTTCTATAATTTCTAAATTTTAATTCTTTACTATTATCTAAGTTACGCCTTAAAATTAGTATTCTACTAATACTTTTATAGAATTTAAATCTATCCAAAGGGCTCTATAATGGAATATATTTATTTTATACTAGGCTCTATATTAATATCTCGAAGTTTAAATTAATAGTAGAAATTTCAATGAAAATATCTACTTTATTTACTATATTTAGTATAAGAGTAATATTCTAAATTTTCTATTCAAATTTTATTAATATTAATTTTCTATAAGACTAGCCTTTATAATAACTATTAATAAAGCTTAGAGCTAATTATTAAAGTATATTAGAGTTGATCTCTACTCTCCTATATTTATATATAGCTAGCTATATATTATATTATTTTAAGTAATAAATATTAAATAAATTATTATTTTATTAAATCTAGAGACTAAAGAAGAATTAGTTATAGCTACTACTAATAGATTAAATTAGAATATAGAGAGTAATATCTCTAAAAATATCCTAATTCCAATTTTTTAATTTTTTACTAATCTAGATCTAAATTCGCTTATCTAAAATATTATATATTAGAAGGTACTTAAATATATCTATCTCGCCCTTTTAGAGTTAGATATTTCTTCTCTACCTTTATTAACTTTACTAGCTTAATATTATACTTTAGTTAATCTATAATCTAATTATCTTATTTACTTTTAAAGGTATTCTTACCTTAATTACCTTCTAGTTAATATATCTACCTTAATTATTATTTAAATTATTTACTTTATTATTACTCCCTTTACCATAATTTATTAGTCCCCTTAGCCTAGTAGCTAGAATTAGATTTTCTAAATATCACTAGATATATTTTATAATTTTCTAGCCAGTAATTATATTATTTATATAAAAGAGATACTAATAATTATAGAGTTCCATAATATTATAAATAATTTTTTTACTAATAACTACTTTATTAAGGGCTATAATTAACTCTTTATAGAGTATTAGAAAGGTTAACTAGTTATAACTCTCTAGGCTAAGTCTCTATATATTTAGTCTAGGGACTTAAATAGTAAAATATACGCCGATATATTAATTAGAATAACTAATCTATATATAGCTTTTATTAGTATAGTAGTTATAATTCTACTAGAGTCTACTAAATATTAAATTTTTATTATTTAACTTAAAGCTTATTACTATTTATTATTTAACTTAACTTCTAGAATATAGAGCTTTATTAAGTTCGATATTTACTATATTATATCTAGTAACTTTTACTAGAAAAATATTTATCTATTTTAAGTATTTTATCTAGTCTCTATTAATAGTTAGATTATTAGCCTCTATAAATATAGGGGTTACTAGTCTCCTATTATTAATTTATTCTAGCTAAGCTACTTATTAGGAGCTTAAGTAGCTACTACCCTTAAAATAATACCTAAGTCTAGGCCTAGTATACTAGTATAAGTATTTATTTTACTTCCTAGTAGATAAATATATAGCTAAAACTTTATTTTATAATAAAGAACTTAAATACTTCTGCTATATTAATACCCCTATAATACTAATTAAGAGATTATATACTAAAGGTACTAAATTTAGACTATTAACTACTACCCCCCCCCTCCTCTACTTCTAATAACGATATAGTAATAAAATAAATTCTAAAGGAAACTACTAAAGCTCCTATTAGTAAAAAAGCTTACTTTAATTCTTTAAAGTTAAACTTAGGCTTAATATTATAGGCCTCCAAGGTAACTTTTTCTTCTACTAAAAAGTTTAAAAATTAGGACGTTTTCTCTATATAGTCTAAAAATATAATAGTAGATTTAGATTTATTCAAAAACTCTTCTAGTTTAGACTTAGATAATTTAAATAATTCTTTAGAGGATAATAATAATAATATTATAATTATTACTTTAACTAATTTATATACTAATAAGCTACCTTATCTAAATAATAATATAAAAGATAAAAGTAAGAGTTATACTATAAAGAGGTATAAGTAGATAAGTTAGATAATATAGCTTAGTGATAAATATTTAGAGTAACGGGACTATCTACCTCTAAATAAAATCTATAATAGAAATTAAATACTAAAAAAGGGTTTAACTATTAAGTATCTAATATTAATTACTAGATATCTAATAAAGAGATTTCTTAAAGTAAGTAAAGCCTATATATAAGGAAAGAAAGAGAAGTATTTAGAGAAAATACTTTTTAAATTAATACTAATATAAAGGATCCATACTTATAGAATACTATACTAATAGTAGTATAATTATATATTAATATCTCTAAGGCTTATATTATTAATATATAATACCCTATTATAGTAACTAGATAACTATAAAATACTTCTACTACTACTAGCTATAAAGTACTAATTTTATATTTATAACTATTAGGCCTAATAAAATAAAATTTGAAGCCTTTAATTATTTAATATTATAAGTATCTTTATATATAATTAAGTATTCGCCGCTAGGTATTATTTACTAATTAGATGACTAATACCTGGCGGTGAGCGTAGCTCGCCGCTCGAACTTTCTTGTTATATATACTTGGGATCGAGGGACGGTAACGATACATGGGCAGATACATTTATAGCTAGGAAAGGATGGCCTGCTGGAGATGCGGTAAACATAACTAGCATGAGAAATAACGTCAGATAAAGAGAAGAGACAGACAGAAATGCAGTTAGATCGAATGGTCAGATATGAAATATGTTTGACGTGAACTCCGCTCGCGTGCGTTGTGGGTGGACATGTGAAGAGCCGCCTGTTTTAACATCCAAGCATCAGGATTATGTCCCCTGCATCTTGAACACTCCTTGGTTTATTGGCGACGTCTTGCTGGACTCGAAGTGCTCCGTTCGTTGCGAGGGTCAGGACGTGCAGCAGTGCCTGCGTCGCGACGATACGGGAGCTCGACCTGGGAGGAAGAAGCGAGGTGAACGATACCCCTGAACTGCATACTCCGGCCTTCCATTCACCATCCTCCTCCTCAATGCGAATCTGCAGGTACTCGTAAAAGTTGATGGTCTCCTGGTCAAGGCTGCTGCTGTTTAACCATTTGGGCCTTTGGACGCTGCCCCTTTCATCGTGATCGAGCTGTTCCCCCGGTTGCCCGTCTCCTTCGCCACCGTCAATGCCACCAAACATGTCTACGCCTATGTCCTGGTCACTTGGCAGGTGGACGTTTGTCATTCCACCGCGACCAGCGAGTGGACTCGGACTTCTTAGGCGTCCTCGTCTAAAGGCAGCTAGGGCTGCTGCGTTGGAGGCAGACGGCAGTCCATCCGGTCCGGGACTTACCACAGATCGCGGGCCGCCAATGCTCGAGAACACGCCTCCACTCGCGAAGATCTGGCGGGAATACGCTGAGCTCTTGCTCCTGATAGATGCGGTGATGTTCCATGGCATGTTGGATTGGTCGTCATCCCGAAGAGATGAAGGAGCCTGTCGGCCGACCTCAATGTCCTATATTGATCGACATGTCAGTGCATGAAGCTTGGTCGTCTCTGGAGAATCCCCCCGGGAAGAACATAGGTGCATACCTCAACTACAAGGCCAGGACCTTCATCCACTTCTACAGCCTCGCCTAAGCCAAGTTCAGGCTCATCATCCTGCATGGTACGAGCTTTCTTACCAACCACAGCTGCATCAGCATCCTCATCTTTACCCTCGTGGTTCCTCTTCCTACGTCTCTCTTTGCATGGTGCCCCAGTCAAAGAGGCGAGTAATTGGTCTCCGGAAAAGGCAGCAAGTGGATGTAGCACTGCTCCAGCACCCAAGCCGGCACCTACAGCTCCAATTCCCGAACCGAGAACCCAGAAGGCCGCGTTCTTTTTGGCAATGGTGATAAGCCTGTTCTGGACCTTGGCCCTGGCCGCAGCAGCCATGTTCTCCGCGTACTCTGAGTTCCACTGTGCCAGATCAGAGTTTCGAAGCTCAGCGGGCTCATCTATACCGAACATCCTGGGAAGTTTTCTCCTTCTAAAGGGTACCCTTACTTCACCTGTCTCCGAGGATACCTGAGGAACGTTTGAGTAGTCTGGATCAGTCACTTGCCCTCGTGGCTGTATGCCGTCGGATACAGGCAGACTCCCCATCCCTTCTCTCTGACTTGCATCAATGTCATTCATGACAATACCCCCATCAGGCTATATCATAGCATTAGCAATCCGGACTATGTGAACAAAAAGAAAGCTAAGATTTGACTCACTTGATGATCGTCAACGAGCAAGTCGACTCCAGTATTTCTCAAGGTACTCAGGCGGTCATCCCCCACTTGGACTTCACTTTCCCTTGGCTGTGCAGCTTTCTTCGGAGATAGCTCGATGATGTTACCTTCACCATCGAATTCAAAGTCCGGTTGTAACAAGATACCGGCCTCGTCTCCAAAGTAGGGTGGCAGCTCTACTTGAGGCTCCTTTCTAGCGCTGCTCATGTCACTGATATATCCTAGGCCTTCCCCTGCCTGGAAGCCACCGATATCCGAAGATGAGAGATTCAGCTGCAGTTGTGCGGCTGGTGACCAGTTGGTAGCAGATGATTTGGGAACGTAGCTTGATACCAGACTGGATTTACGGGGTGATACCCATTCCAGTCCCATATCCAGAGCAGATAAATCAACATTCAACCCGGGCAACATTAGCTCAGGAATAAAAGTCGGATCATGTGGAAGCATGATTTGATCGGGTCTACAATCGTTAATCATTATCTTATGATGTTGAGTGTGGCATGATAGTAAATATTTACCTGGCCTTTCCCGCGTCAGGATCCAAGCCAGCATTGTTGATAACCTTCAACATGGTCCTCATTCTATCCCGCGTGGCTTCAGCGTCGAGAAGCGCATACCCGCACTGCTGGTGGTAGACTTTAGATACCCCGTACCTATTATACTGTGTTAGCTATATATCCCAAGACACACAGTCTAATATAAGGAAAAACCTACAAGAGGTTCCCCTGTAATCTCAATGCCATAGGAGCATCTGGTCGAATAATCATATCACACGCCTTGGGCACGTCCACTTCTAATATTGCCTTCCTGTTCACCTTTCGTGTAGTTAACTTTGCCCCGAGAGTCGCCACCAGCCTGTCAATTCCTCATTAGAAGGGCCATTTTGACGTTCTATGCTTGATCTATGTATAACCAACTCACCACACTGTAGCAACGCCATGCTCCCGTGAGGTGAGGACTATGGTAGAGACCGAGTTAGCAATTGATCAGTCTCAATAGTCTCTACACTGCGATTCACCAATTGATGCCGGTGAAGAACTTACTTTCGTGGCTGTAGAACATGGCGTCTGTCTTCTAATGCTCTAGACCGGGATTCTCCTGACTCTTTCGAGTATTTATAGTCTGTCTATAGGCTGTCTATAACCGTGGACGGAGCTGTGTTTGCTACAGAGCAGAGATGAAGTTGCGGACTCGCTTGAAGGAAGAAGAAGAAGAAGAAGAAGAAAAAGAAGAAGAAAAAGAGAGTCGCGTCGTCCTAATCGGGAAGTGAGGGCAAGTGAGCGGAAGGCGGAGAGTCACGGGTTCTGGGGGGCAGAATCTTCCCGGCGACAGAAAGATCCATATAAAAGATGGACATTAAGATGGTGAATATCCGGTAGATGGACAAGGGATAGTGAATAGATAGAAGTAATGTAGACGATTGGCAGCAGTTCTATCAGTATAACCCAGAAAGGCTAGCAAGCAAGAGCGTCATCTTCATCCTACCTTAAATACAAACAGACGGACGAAACGAGAAGCGCCATGCGTTCAAAGAAAACAGTATCTTGACAGTGGCTACATACTAAAGGCACAAGAAAAAAGACAAACAGAGTCTATGGCAGAGCTGGAACTGGAGCTGGAACGGCAATGAAATTGCAACTACAACAAGACAGAATGGTGTCTATATAGGGTTTCGTTGGGGGTAGACGGCGGTCGGTGGCTAGCTGCTGCCATCCAGCGGGATACCTTCGTACTCCGAGTATCCTAGCGCGAGGTTCATGTTTTCTATGGCCGGGTTAGACGCATGTTTTAAGTAGAATATAGGGTTAAGGGATAAACGTACGTAGACATTGAGTTGCAGCACCCTTGAGAAGGTTGTCAATAGTAGCGCAGACAATGACTCGCTTCCCACTCGAATGGACTGCGAAACCACCGACTTCAATCCCGTGGCGGCCAGAGATGTTTTTGACCAGCGGTGCCTCACCGACGACCTTGACTAGTTTCTCACCCGCGTAGCGGTCTTGGTATAAGTTGCGGATGTCACGGGAGGCCATGGCCTCTTTCAGCGGGATGTTGATAGTGTGCTGGAAATAACATGGTTAGCAAGTGTCAGAAATAAAGCAGGATAGAAGGAGAATAACGGGCTGACATACGTGAATGCCCTGGAACCAAACCGCAACATGAGGAATAAATGCAACCTCAGCACCAAGCTGAGAGCCGATTTCCCTCTCATGGATATGGTCCGTAAGACTGTACGGAACGATATTGTTGGTCAAGTAATTCACATCATTCTTCAGACTAGGCTTGGTTCCTGCGCCGGAGTACCCAGATACACCGAAGACAGTAGGTTGGCCGCCCAAGTACGGCACCAGCGGCGCAATGCCGACCTGTGCAGCTGTGGCATAGCATCCGGGGTTGGCAATGCGAGTTGCCTTGGCTATCGTAGACCGATTTACTAGTTCCGGCAGACCGTATGTCCAGGAGTCATCGAACCTGTAGTCTGCGCTGAGATCGACGATGACGGCCTTCTCCTTGTCGACGGAATCAACGGCGTCCACAAACGGTTTGCAGACTCCGTTTGGCATGGCCATGACCCAGCAGTCGACGTCTCCTTGCTCAGCCATGCGCTTGACGTCGTCTGGGCTGAGGTTCTCGTAGATGATTTCCCGCTTGTTGTAGCCCTGCAGTGGCTTGCCTGCTAGTTCACGGGAAGAGACGTGGGCTAGATCCATGTATGGGTGGGCACTGAGAAGACTGATCAGGGCTTGACCGGTGTAGCCGCGAGCACCGATCAGGGCGACCTTGGAGGGTTTGGTGTTGGATGCGTTCTTCTTGCCCAGGGGAGGGTTTGGGTTGGTCTGGGTGGTGTATGAACGGGAGAAGCCCGGGCGGGTATATTGTTGCTGCTGTCTGAGGGATCGCAGAGCAGAAGCGGTGGTGGCTGCTGTAGAGAATGCTCGTTTCTGCTGGACGGTCGCAGAAGGATTGCTGCCACCTGCCGCGCTGCTATTCAGGGAGGACTCCATGCTGAGGTTCCCAAGCATGTCACGACCATTCTTGCTGAATTCGACGACAAGGTCCTTGACTTCGTCTGCCTCCTTTACGCCGGACCAGAAAAGCACTTCGCCATCCCGACATAGACTGCCGTCAGCCTTGTCGAAGAACCAAGAGAGATTCTCGTCGTCTTCCTTGACGGTCCAGGTAAGCTTGGGGAAGTCCTTTTGGATGCTGGTGAAGACGTTATCGGCAACATGGGTCAGCCAGCCGGTCTTGGTAATGGACATGGTAGCCAGGTGAGCGAGCGTAGAGCCCGGCTTGGGTGGCAGGACAATGGCCAGAGCCTCTAGGGGCTCGTCTGAGTAGGCCTTGATCTCCTTGCCTCTGAGTGAGTCAACGTATCTGTCCACGGTAGCCCTGGCATCCAGCGCCTCCTGATCACGCACAAGAGCGTTCTTCAGGGCTTCGATATCCTCGAACTCCTCGATGCTGTTCCTAGTCTGGACCTTGTTTCCCCGTCTGATCAGGGTTCCGGCACCGGTATCAGTGAACAGCTCCTTTTGCAGGTCCGCAGGGTGTATGATAGCCACGCTGGAGGTCCGGGGCAGGTCCATAAGCAGTTCCTTCATCTCCTTGATCTTGAGACGTGTTCCGTGACGAACCCACCACTGCTTCATGAGATGGTCATACTCTTCATCCAGATTGATGGCCGAGATCTTCTCGCCTGTATCTCCATTGAACAACCCGCCCTTCTCAGCCAGGTATACGATTTTCAACGGCTGGAGTTCCCTCGCAAGTTCACCGGCAGCAACATCCGCATTGACGTTCAGCACCTGGCCCTCTGGCGTCTCGGCCATGGAGGTGAGGATAGGCAAGCATCCGGCTTCAATTGCGGCCTCGATAGGCTTCTTGTTGACCCCATTGATCTTGCCGACAAGGTTGTACTTGTCTTTATCCAGGTAGTCTGCCGAGAAGACGCCCGTGGTCAATGGCCTTGCTCTGACGCCCAACCGCTCCAGCTCCTCGACCAGCTTGAGGTTCTCTTCCATGAAAAGCGACCTGGCCAACGCCAGCGTCTTGCCGTCCGTGACTCGAATGCCGTCTTCAAAATGCGGTTCCACGCCGGCGTCCTCCAGCATCTTGTTCAGCTGGGGTCCGGCCCCGTGCACCACGATCGGGTATAGGCCGACATGGTTGAGGAAGGCAAGGGCCGAGGAGAGCGTCTGCAGGTGTTCTGTTATGATGGCGCCGCCGACCTTGATGACTGCGAACTGCTGCGAGGAGACGGAGGTGAAGTGGGAGAGGTACTGCTGGACCTCACGCTTGGAGCCGATGTTGCTGAGCAGCTGGACGACGGTCGAGCGAGTCGAGAGGTGCGGCTGGTAGCGAGGCGAGGTGTAGCTGCGTCTCTGTCGGTATGCAGCAGAGCCATATCTCAGCGGCGCTGCTGTCCATGAAGCTGGTGAAGCTGGTGAAGCTGCCAGTCGACCAGGACCCCCCAGTCCGGTGGAGCGAGCTGCCAGGCGGCCCGCGGCCCTCCGCGCAAGATGGCTCGACATGGACGGCAGAGCAGTGCTGGACGGTCAATCTGGTCTTCTCCTTCGGCGTCTCGTCTCTTCGTCTGCTGGAGCGAGAGAGCAAGAGCGCAGTTGGTCGTCTGTCTTCGTCTTCGTCTTCGTCTTCGTCGGTCTGGCTGGTCTGATATTTATTACTCACCGGCAAGAAAAGCGAAGGGTGGACCTTTTTTTCTTTTTTAGCTTCTTCACCAGCGAAAAAAAGCCAGCCGATCTCGGCTCTCAGCTTAGCTGCGCCGGCCGCATAATAATGATAAACATAAACAGGCTGCACGGCACATAGCTGCAGCTTTCCCTTGCTACTAGTATTTTATCTAGTAGTAGTACGGAGTAGCTGCTCTCTATACTATCATGTTTTAAGGCTGGTCTGCTCACCCTTGCCCTGGTCGACCCACCGCCAATGTTGCTTTTTATAGGGATGCAGCTTTCATAGGACATGCAGTATCAACGAAGCAAGACTACGTACAGAGAAGGGAAGACAGGACGAGAGAGAGGAGGAGGAGGAGAGAGAAGGGGAGTGGCTAGGGAGAACACGCAGCCATTATAGTAGTCGCTATTGTAACACATTACGGGGATTTCGTTGGCCAAAAAGAAAGAGAAAGGAAAAGAAGAAACCCTCTATTACCCCTTGGTTCCCGTCCCTAAAGCAGAGCGACTCCAGTTGAGATGGTTCGTTGGCATCGGCGGGAGTTCAAAGAGTCATGGTATTAAAACAGAATCACAAAAAAACAGACAAAAGAAATCAGGACACAAAAAGGAAATAAGAAAGAAAAAAGGTCATCGGGGAAAACTCGTGGTCATCCGAGTAGGCCAGGCATCAGTATCACAATCACAATCAGTTATCAGAATACACACACACGGTCATGGATTTCGCATAGTTGGGGGGGAAGGCAGTGCTAAAGTGCTAAATAGGAGATTCATGAGGTGGACGAGGGAGAGAGCCTTCGCTTGTTCGATGGCAAGGGTATTGGCGAAGGGGGCTGGATTAGGTGGTATATGGACGTATAGAATCACTTGGCATGCTTTGATGCGACGACTACATGGAGGTTAGCATGCGGTTGTCAAGAATGAAGGTGGTAAGATGGAAGACGCACCGGCTGGGACTATGATGATGATGAGCAGGACGATGATGCCGATGATGAGCCATATGCGCATCTTGACGTCCTTCCACCACATCTGCTTCCGGACGCGGTTGGCTCCCCGACGGAAACCCTGAGCAGAGACGGCGAGGTTGTCTGTCTTGTCCTGCAGGGAGTCCAGGTGCTCGCCTCGCTGCGAGACCTTGTTGATGTTCTCCCGCATCACATCGACGGTATCATCGATTTGCTATTACTTCAGTCAGCACGTTCGTCCCATTATTGTCTATTCCATTATCGGCAGATAACAGCCGTATCAAGCAAGGGTCAGACATACGGCCTGCAGCGCTGCTGTCCGCTGGTTGCCTGAGGTCGGCCCATCCTGGCCGGGCTTCGACTGGGAGGGAATGTAAGGGTCGTAGGGCTGCTCGCGGTCGGCCATGGCGGTGGTGTATGTGAGACAACAACAAGAGAGACGGACGCTGGAAGATGCGGCGGCGAGAGAGAGGGAGCTTGCGACGGTTATGTAGTAGTGCTGGCGGCAAGCAAGGAGGGAGGAGGGAAGACGCAGAAGATGTAACTATCTATCTGCGACCAGGGACGGACGGGCTGGCTTTGAACGCTAGTCTGGGAGTTGCTGGGAGCGCTGGCAGCGACGGGCAGCAGTGGCGAGGACGAGGGCGCGCAAGTCGACGAGGCGGAGCTGGCGGTGCCAAAGAGGACGCTCGTAGACGACGGCAGGATGGCCTTCTTCTTCTTCTTCTTCTTCTTCTTGTCTCTTCGTCTTCGCTTCTTCGTCGTTGTTGTTGTCGTCGTCTTCGTCTTTCTTCTCTCGCTGTCTTTTCGTTTGCTTGTTCGTCGTCGTCGTCTTTTTCCTTTTTTGCTTCTTTCTTTTCTTTTTTAGGCTTCGTTTCTGCCTTCTTTTGGAGTACGTAAGCAGGTCTTGGCGATGCTCCTTTCATTAAATGCACGTGATGTTATATTGATGAGTAAGAGATGAGTAAGCAGATAGTCTAAAGTTAGAGTTAAAAGTTAAAGAGACAGTGAAGGGATAGAAGAGAAGATAGAAGATAGAGAGTGAAGATAGAGACAGACAGGGCAGGGATAGGGACAGTGACGGTGCAGACGTGAAGATAGCATGGTGAAGAAAGAAGGTAAGACAGCAGGGTGAAGAATAAGATGGTGAAGACACACCGTGAAGATAGAGATACCCAGCACAAGAGAATGTGAAGACAGAGATAGTGAAGAGATACCCGTGAAGAGATACCCGTGAAGAGATACCCGTGATAAAACA